AGGCAGCAATGCTTGATCGCATCCCCTCAACCGACGCTAAGGGATTTTATAAGGATTTTGCCAGGGGTTGGGGATTACCCCCCAACCGCCCTACTGACAAATATGCAGTGGTATGGTTTGGGGTGGCGGGGCTAATTATCAGGGGGCGTGCTTACTACTGCCTCAACACAAGGCACCGTTTTAAACATCAAGGAACCGTTCCAAGACTAAATTAACATCGGCCTGAGCACCCTGCATTGCTCTAGAGCATGAACCGTGGCCGTATGCTTGAAAAAGTACATGTAGGACTTGGCTCAAACCAAATGGAGACATTCAAATACGCACCCGTATTAGAATAGGAATCTCATTTTAGGGCCCGTATTCTGAATTGAGGAAATCCCTCCGTGGAGGTCTCGATTTTGTCATCCAAGCGAAAGACACCATGGTTTTCTGGTGAAACCATCCGGGCCCTTCCCGGCAAGAGTTGAAAACTCGCAAAATGTAGGACAGGCTGTCTCGAGAGGCGCTTTCCTCCTCAAATATTCCTGACCGTTGGGATCCAATGGCTTGCAGTGCTGTGACCAGGTTCTCGAGGGTATGGTCAATGTTTGTCGAATTGTTTCCATACAACTAGCATTGCTGTTAATGCTTGGAAGGAGTACGTAGCAAGATCGCCTCTTGCATCATTACTGAATCTTCGTCATATCATGGCCTCCATCCCCATGTTGCCCAACGGTTTCCTGCTAGAGGGATTCAGGCCAGGATCCCTTATGCTCGGACACCCGTGAGGGAGTGCGCGCCCCTCCCAGCAGATGTAGAGACAAGCACTTGATCAATCCACGGCGCTGCATCAGTAGGCGAATTTGCACTTTGCTTAATGAAATCAGATAACATGATTATTGCGAAACGGTTCGGTGATGTGCGTGCCATGATTGGCCCAGCGTCTTCCTTGCCACCCACACGGCGTGTGCATGTGTTGTCATCATTCCAAACTCTCATCATTCCATATCCAGTTACCATTAGCTTTGCGGCTATCTGCAAAAATTGCAATGCAGCTGCAGTCAGCCTGAACTGCAGATCGTGAACTGCACTATTACTTCTCATGCTGGGATCTGTGCCACTAGCACCACATGTTCTGCGTTGATGGAACGTCAAAGAAACACGCGGTAACCAATGTAATGAGAAGATGATAGCACTTGTAATGCGCCAGTCAGAGTTACAAACAGTGTAGCTGCGTTAGCAAAGGGCCATGCTTGTTCGTCTTCCTGTCCTTCCTAGCCATCATGCAACGTAGACATGCTAGTTGCATGTGTGACTTGACAACAACCTGCACGTCCATCTGTATAAGTTCTGAGCTCGGGGACGGCCTCGTGCATAAGCCGCGAAGCATCCTCTCACGTTCCGCCGCAGAGCGTTAACTTGAGACAGGCCCGGATCCGTAGGAGTCTGAGCAACCACCGATGATAATCACACATGCTACCCCCCGGCCTGAGCATAAACGTATCAAGCAAGTATGGCTCTGCTTGTAATCATGACATGAGAGAAACAGTGAGTGTCCAAGGCTTAGCTGACAGTCGTAGCAACAGTATCCACAGCAGGTGCAAAACTACTTGTCGCGGGAGTAAACATCCGCGTCTCGCCGCTATCCTCAATGCTACAGTACTAATTACAGGAATGAGAAGACTCAAACGCTATTTCGATTCTTGCCAATGACAACAACAAATGACCGAAAGACAGCACCAATACAAGCAACAGACCTTAATGCTCTCAAGAAAAGATGCTTTGGATCCGAGCGTGGCTTGGATAAGCCAAGTGGAACAGACCGCATCCAAATGCAGCGCAAATGAGCTTCCGCCAGGTGTCTTACGATGCTCGCTCAAGTTGCAAACCACTCATTATCGTCTACTGTTAGCCTTACTATTGCTCCCACTCCGCTACTGTTACTGCTGCTTCTAGTGCTACATGCCATGGCAACAACTACTGTAGCTCCAGGTGCGCCTACTTCCTCTGTGATTGATGTTTCCGCTGTTGCCGCTGCTGCCGTCTTGGGATTCTGCAGGTTCCTGTGTAAGGGCATGCTAAGGGACACGACAGTATATGTATGCGCCGACCAGGGTCTTTTTTTCAATTGTTGCAGCACGCTCAACTACCAGGAGCACAAAATAAGGGGACCCCAATATAGATCCCCAAAATACTATAATCCTTATTAATGGGACCCCTAAAATGGTACCCCTAATTTTGGGAAACGCTCAACTGCCAGGAGCACAGGCAAAACACCCAGCCGGGCTCATCAGATCGTTAACTCGTGGCGTTGCCATCCGACCCCTCAATGTGTCCTCAGCGGGTGCTGCCTGTTACTATTCCTGTTATTATTCCTATTATTATTACTACTATTATTGCTATTATTATTACTATTACTACTACTATTACTATTACTATTACTATTACTATTACTATTATTGCTATTATTTTTTTCAGAAATGGGTAGGGGGGAGGACTTGAATGGACTTGAATGCTTGTCCCTAATCCCGTCCAATATAGTTCCACAACTTCCCTGCTTTCATTAGCCGGCTACCTCCAATTCCAAGACGAAGCAGTCCGGCAACTGAGGCAGGCTGGAGGCCGATCGTAGCTTCAACTTCGTGGTTGCTAGTTTAGGGTTTGGGATTTTGAGTCCAAAGTCGTGAGCAGAATACCTCCGTCCTCATGTGAAGCAAGCTGTTCCATCCTGAAAATTCGTGGGATATCCTTCTTTTGAAATATTGCCTTTGGAATGCACCAACATTTAACATAGGTCCCATCAACATGGATCACAGAGTGTCGCGAGGCTCCTCGGGAATAAGATGATTGGAAGACCCTCCCCTCTACATGCTCCCGCCAACCCCTGAAAGCCCTTCCCAGATAGGTCCACCTTAACCCTTAATACTTTGCTCCCTAAATATCCCCACAAACCCCAGTTCTTGACCTTCCGTGTTGTTCTCCAATATTACGGGCAATAGGGACCGCATAGCCCCTACATCCCTAGAAAAGAAACTGTATAATTCCTAAACTCTAAATCAAACCCTAAACCATATGGTAGTTCCCATGCCACTTGCCCCTTCATTGCCCATTTGATTCACAATTATTGTGGCGCATACCCCTCAACCAGACATATTCCCCAATATAACCATGAGAGAGAGAGAGATAGAGAGAGAGAGATCCTAAACCTCTGAACCCTAAACCACCAAACCCTAAACCCCTAACCACCCAAACCCTAAACCCCTAAACTCTAAACCCTAAACCTAAACCCTTAAACCCCTAAACCCTAAACCCTAAACCCCTAAACCCTTAACCCCTAAATCCGAAACCACCAAACCCCTAAACCCTCAACCCCTAAACCCAAAACATGACAAGACTTGGGGGTTGCTTAGGTTGGCTCGCTCCCACTCGCCGGGAGATAGGTTCGAGAGTGCCTGCCAAGCTGGCTGTACGGAGGAGCAGGTGAAGGGTTTAGGGTTTAGGGGTTTCTTCAGGGTATGTATATATATATATATATTTAACAAAAAACATAGGGGTATGGGGGCTACAGGGTGCCCATTTCCACAAAAAGAGGTGAAACAAAAGATAGGTAAAATGGAAACTTGGGTTTGTGGAGATATATGGGTTGATCTCAAAATCATGGGCCCCTTTTGCTTATAGTTTAAATCACGGCACCTTTTAATATCTAGGGGTACCAAAATGGAATGGGACCCTAATTTTGGGAACCCCCCAAATATAGAGAGAGAGAGAGAGAGAGCAGGCATGGCATGAGGGTGACCGGATGATCTCTGCAAGGGCCATATTGCATAGGTTGAATTGGGATTCCGCGTAATTCTTCAGAAGTAGGGTCCCGCTTTGGTACGTACCCCTACATATTAGGTGCCGTAGTAGAATATGTAACCGAGAGGGGGCCCATAATTTGGAGAATAACCCTTCTCCAGCTGGGAGTTCTTCATCTAGGGCTCTGCACGCTCACAGGACTTACTGGTGCTCAAGGGAGAGTGGGGGAGTGGATCCCTCCAATAATCCGTATTTTATCCCCATATGTACCCCTATAATGGTACCTATATTCTCCCCCAAACCCTAAACCCTAAACCCTGTAATGATACCTATCTTCACTCCCCCACTCCCCTTTAAGCACCAGTAGGAGGAGCACGCCAGGGCTGTGCCCCAAGCCCAGGACTTCTCCAAATCCGCTCTGGTCGCACCAAGGAAGCCCAGCTATTCTTAACAGTCATAACAATAATAATAATACTCGTAATTATGAAAATCATCGTAAGAGTAAGTATACGCATAGGATAAGTAATAAGAACGGTAACAAAATTGCGATTACAGTAATAATTCTAGGGATAGTACTAATAATGTATAATGGTAATAGTAATAATAACTGAGAGTAATGGTATAATTGTTTATCACTGTTTTTGTTGTTTCCCTTCTTACGTCCTAGGAGTAACAGCACTCTGAATAACATATGACCTTGGGTGACTTTATTCATGCTATGGGGCACTCTTATGAGGGCCAGTTCCTTGGTGGCTGGCTGTGGATTTCAACATTTGCTGGCAGTTGACACGCCCCTCAAAAGTCATTCTTTCCTCTGGCAAGGTAGTGGGACGCGCACTTCTTAGACAAGGTAGGGTACCCAAGGAAATGGCAGCCTACGCCACATTAAGGATCCGGCACATCCTGACGCAGCAACCACTACGTGCTACCGTTTTCACACCTTGAAACAAACTTCTGATGAATGGATTTTGCTGAACATCCGCAGCCTGCCGCTGCAGCGTCGTTGAGAAGGAGACAGCCGCCTGCGCCTGCGAATGATCCCCTTCTGATGATGTCTCAAACATGAAAGTCCGTTGCTACAACGTGCATCAGCTTCTCTGCCTTGTTGCCTTTTGCAGGCACTCTCGGAGAAGGCACTGGCTTTGTTACGTCTGTGTCTGTGAAATTGACTCGCAACGAGTCTTGCCAAAACTTATGTACATTGCTGCTTCCGCAGCCTGCGCCTACGGCACCTCATCCAGTGGCTCGCCTTCGCTTATCTCTGGAAGCTCCGATGGTGCAGGTTCTTGCTCGTTGGACCGGAAGTCCGACAAGCTCAGCCACAGTTTCCTGTGTTTGCCCTGCCCAGTAGTTGAAAGAGTCGCTTGCCGAGCAAGCATGTACCTGCTCTGTTCCTCGAGCATGCGAATCCACACTGGGGGCAGATGCCTCGGGCGGGAATTTGGATCTTTCAATTCTCTGTCATAGCTACACAAAAGGCGTCGCAGCGTCTCGAAATCGGTAGGCCGAGTGAACTTCCTCAAGCTCGGCATTTCCGAATGACGCTTGTACTTTAGGTGTACTTGCCGTATATCCTGTTGTTCCGAGGCTGTGTCAAGGAGCAGAACCATGCCAGCAAGCAGAGGCAGGCTTTGCAACAGTGAGCCACCACCCTCAGACTGTGAAGAACGAGCCGACCGAACCGACCGAACCGACCGAGCCGGCTTTGATGATGCCTTTCGACGAGACGTGGAGTGAGTGGAGCTCGGCATGTGATGCAGCTTGGTCAAAGGAGTAGCCTCAGGGAGCTGCTCCATGTCCTCCTTGATCGCCAAGAGGTGGTAAGGCTCCTCCGACCCATACAGGTGCGGAAGTGCTACGTGGTAGACGTCCACCCCGATCCGCGCTTGGTGACTGTCCACTAATGACACACGCATACAAGCCGGAGCCAGGTCTAATAGGCCTTGCTCATGACCGGTGGAATTTGCCATGAAGTCCTTAAATCGGCGCTGCTCATCTTCCTCCTGCATGAGCAAGTCCTGGAAGTCTTTTTCTCTCAGCTGGTCTTGCGTGGACAGGAGGCGGTTCAAACAATTGCTCCCTTGGACCTTCCAATTGCCATCAAGCAACACCTCCCCATCACAGATACCCCGTAGCATGCGGCGGAAGCCTGACGTAATTGACTCTGCATCGGACGACCTGAATTGAGCCTCGAAGCGCTGACGAAGGTAATACTCCAGCACCACGCACAAGGTTATGGCCATGGCAGCCGTATACACTTGACTCAGGATACAGGCTAGTGCAAACTGGTCCCATCCACGAGCTCGCAAGTAGAAAGCAGTCTCTGCAAAGGATAAACCCAGTTGAGCTGGCGTGTGGAGGCCACTGTCGACGTGCAGGAGGACCAAGACGCATCTCCAAGCAACGCAAAGCTGCTCCCGACCTGCTAGGCGTCCAATGGGATCAAGCCCGTCGCCGGCCCACATGAAAGGGATGAAGGCCAGGTAGTTCACAATCAGAAACTTCTTGATGCTTGGGATTGTCATGTTGACATAACCCTTGCTAATCATCATGAAAGCCATATAGGTAACAAAGCATCCCAGGACATAGGCAGGCTTTCCCAACACTACGTACATGATGACACTAGAGAATGTCACGTGCTGCAGCAATCGGCACGCAAGCACAAAGTTTTCCTCTGTGAGAGCATGCATTGCGTCATCGATTCTTTGCTTTGATGGGTCCTCTACCCCCAGCACAGTGGCCGTATGTTTTCGGTGAAAATATTTCCTCCAAATCCAATCCAACATGAACCGTGCATCGGACGCCGTCAGGGTACAGTGCCCCGCCACCAATGTCAGAATTGCAGCGGCGCATTGGAAACGAGCTGGTGGTGACATGAACGCAACAATCTGCTCCATTGATTGTCTGCAAAGACAGGAAGAACCTATCTCAAGACAGGAAGAACCTATCAAGGCTGATGACTCGCTGCAGGGACAGAAATTGCGGCACCACACAACATGCATTTGGCAACACTGGCTACCATGCTTTGGGTATTCTGCTGCGATATCATTGTCCAGAAATCGGAATTGTACTGTAACTGATGCCCTTGTTCGAGACTCTCATGTTGATCGCATTGAGTAGGTCCTGCGCCAGCGCGTAGCCCTGCTCCGTGCGCAGCTGTTGCCGGGCCTTGTAGTCTGCGGGCATGTTATGATGTTATGCTCTTGTTATGTGAGGAGTAAAACGGGATCATATTGGTACATCTTTTGTTTCTGCAGTAGAGAGTTCCCAGCCACGAGGGGTTGCAGGTTGCGTTTTGGCTTAGGATCTAGGATTCCGGTTGGGGCGTTATTTGGGTTGGTGTTTAGGAAATCTGCGGACCTTTAAGGGCGTGTTGGATGGTCTGGGCCCACCTACAAACGAAGGGTAACAATTTGCTCTTTTCGGTGGTAAACTCCCCTTCAAAAACCGTGAACGTGGCGGTTTTTGGCGCTTTTTGGCTCAGGGTGGGGCTAGGGCCTGGGGCCTGGGGAGCACACAAACGTGAACTCTCTCGCTTGCGCCGGCTGGTCTCGTGCCCGCGGGCGATTCTGTGATGAGCGTGGAGACATGGACATGCTGGCTCCTTCATGACGGCATGCTTCGGATGGCCACAGGCCAATGAGACGCGGCAGGTCTCTCAGAGGAGGCTAGCCATTTTGGGGCGCTTGCGAGCACGTCTTAGCGGGCATGCTGACAGGGTTTAGTGCCGTACTTCCGGGAGGGCCACTTTCTTCAGGAGACACTGCTTCCCGTCTGGGACGACCCTTGCTTTACGCGTTTTTCCTGAACGACACACCGCAAATAGCTGCATCTTGGGCCTGCTCAAGGCATGACCTCAGGCCCTGAGGCCTGCGAGGCCAGGTGCAGGTACACAAGCCCTGGCTTCAACTTCTCTCGCTTGCTGCGTTTGATCTCTCGCCCAGTCCCTGAAACCGCAGACAGCGCAACAATATTTCCAACATAACGCAACTGCAATATCGGCTGGCTGGTGGGAAGCTGCTTCCGTCTGCCTTGTATGTGCGCGTGGTGCAAGTCTCACGTGGTGCTTGACAAATTTACACCTGCCCGCAATTTCCCCTATGGAGTTGCCCGCCCCTGGCGTCAGCCCCTAAATCGGGCAAGCTTTGCTTGAAGGGGGCGTGCACCCGCCGACCCTGCTTCATTGGACCTCCGTTTCTCCAACCCCGGACCCGGAAGGCAGCCTGAAATCAACAAAACTAGCCTCAAGGCCCGTCTTGGGTCGGAGATTTCAATGCCGATTAATGGTATTGGCGGGTGCCCAAAATGGAGAAATGGACACCCTATGATGCTGACGATGCTGGCCGAAAGGTGGTCAGCATTCATCTGCATTGTTGGGGGTCTAGTTCTCCTGTTTGGGGCTTCTAGTCTGCCCGTGTGCTGTGGGCCCAGCACTCTGGCGGGACGCCGCGCACCCGCACTCATGTGCCAGCACGCCATTTTGCCCCTATCGTTGTCCGCCGCTGGTGTGAACCCCGAAATCCGGTCTGGCCGCCGTGTTTCAGTACAGATGCACGCCTAGCTGAAGCTATGCCTTTTATGGGGTGACGCCTGTGCCACCGACCCCCCCTGGAGATCCCTGGGGCGGTGTCAAAAAACTAAGAAAATTTTGGGATGCATTTCCGAGGCTTCACCGCCGCTTCGGAAGTTTTGGGGCAGCGTCATCAGCACAACTGGGCCTTCGTTTAAAGTTCTTAACGCCTCAAAATATATCAGGATCCCTATATGCGCGGTATTAAGAAGGAAAGTGGGGGCCCAGACAGGCCTCATGATGCTCATGATGCTGGCTTCTTGAGCGTGCTGGGGATCTAGAACCCCGGCAAAACGCTTAAAATGCGTGCTGCCGGCAGTGTTTAGGGCTGTAAACACCAGCTAGAAACACAAAAAACTGTTGTTGGCGGCATCTGCTGCATGACGGGCCTGCGAGTGGACTTGCGTGCATTACCCAAACCAAGCCCTGTAGACTGCGCCTTTTGCAGCACTTTGGAGGCTCCTATGCTTCCATAGGACATCACTTTCACCTACTAGATATGTCCAAATGTGAATAATTGTTCAAATGTTTTTCTCAATTGTTCAACATGGAACATGCAGGCCAACACATGGCCAGCTTGCGCAGAAATTCAAGTTCTCAATCCGCTTTGGGTGGTCTCTTGAGCTTTCTACTCAAAATCTGTCCCGATTGTGTTGACACTCCACAACACCATCGAAAATAGCAAGAGCATCACCTTTTGCAGAGACTACTCATGCTCTGGAGCATCATCAGCACAAATGGGAATCCGTTTTGGGTCTACGAGAGGTGACGGCCAGGTTGGCCGGTACCGCCAGGCCCAAAAAAATGTTTAGGTTTAGGTTGCTTAAGGGGTTCCAGGAAGCGGAACTCACCCTTTTCAATGCTACAAGGGATCCTTGCGATATACAGTTGGAGGCATCCCTTGCGATTTTGCAACCCCATCATGGCACTACCATATACGGGGCGTGGCAGGTGGGTTCTCAAAAACGAACCACACGTCGTCAAAATTCTCCGGGTGTTCCTATCATGCCCGCAGCCCCTTCTGGACTTGTTTTGGAGGAATGAAATTGACCCTACATTGCCGTAATTCAGCGTTTTCTTCCTGTGTAAAGAACACCCTGACTACAACAACAATCACTTCCCCACAATATTTAACGACCGTCCCCCCTCCCTCGCAGTATTGAATAGCACGGGCCCGGAGAAATCATTTAATAAGACGGGGGACATTCATTGACAGTATGGGATAGGCCGGCCTCTAAAACCCATTGATGCCTCGTACGTGAAATCTAATTTAAAACGATATGAAACTAATCCAACCCCCCATAGTAAAATCCATCCAAAGCCAGTTCAAATCAAGCTAGATGCGATTAACAGCATGAAAATCCATTGAGGCCCAAGTAAAACACTTACTTCAATGTCAGTTACGAGCTGATTAATGCCTCATTAGAAACCACTGAAACCTACGTGGAATCAATTAAAATCTTCGTAAAGTGAAATTAAACAACACGCTCATAATCACAGAACAGTGCAAACGTAGGAAATCAAGGCGATCGCTAATTGCTTTGGATTCCGTATTAGATGCCCCCTATTGACCTCAGAACCCCCTTAATTCTTTGCCTTGTGGCCCCTGGAAAAAATCTTCCCCCTTCCAAAGTGCTCGTCAGGATTTTTACTCCAGTGAATTCATGATTCAATATTAGAGAGGGGTTAATATTGCGGAGAAGTGATGAAAGCAGCAAAATGATCGGATGCTGAAGGAAGCCTTACAAGCCCGCGCGTGACAGTCCTGTTTTTCGGACCCACAATCAGAATGGAACCCAAATCCGCGAACCCGACATGCCCAAAAGCCCACCCCGTTGGGGTAATATAGGGATAATGGAAAATAGAATGGAAAGTACAGGGATTATAGGGGTTATATTGGGAACATACAGGGATAATGGAAAAGAAAATGGAAGCTACTACAATGGGTTCTATAGTCTATAGGGTCTTAGGGTTTAGGGCTTAGGTTGTTGGACCTCTGTTGCACCGAGGGGCTGTAAACCTCTCTGCATAGCTGAGCACACTGGCCATCATCGGCGGGTTAGCACCTTAACTTTAACATGGAAGTACCCGTTAGCGGAACGTAAGCAAATAACTATAGCGCAGGTTCTTAGCGTGAGCAAGGGCCTGTTTATTGTAAGATAAAACTACATTACTATAGTAAGATTTTCCTGAATTACTATTGTACTATTACTATATTACTAGTCGGGATTTGCTTTGAGGCCTGACCTGGTTTGAACGGTGCGAGGACCCTTGGAGTTCATGGGTAGCGATACGTCCAGCTATAGTAAGGGGTCACAATAGTCCCCCCCACCTGGGTTTGAGGAGCTAAGGACTAGATAGAGCTAAATAACGCCTAATAGGCTTATAAATCTGGGGGGGGGGGAGTACCATTGGGGGTGGCTACTATGATAATCCCTTATATCGGCACCTAAGCTTGGGCTATGTCTGTAGCTGCCCTCTTCCCACTCAACTTAGATACCAGCAGAACTCCAAGCAGCTTCAACTGCCAACCAACATCTGCTCGGCATGATCACAAAACAGGTACTACAGGGGCCTGAAAAATTACCAATATCATTTGAGGTCCGCTTGAGGTACCATAGACCAAAATTATACAAGGAATATGGAACCATAATAATGGTAATTATTTAGGCCTTTATCGTTGCCAGCATGGCGCACATCTCCCCAAAGACTTGTAAGGCGGGATGAGATCAGCTTATCTACCCTAGTATATAACCCATTATGCAAGTTTCCATTCTATTTTCCATTATGCCAATATAACCCCAGTATATACCCTATGATAATATAGTAATTTCCAAGTTC